GTAAGGAAGCCTATGCTAGCTACATGGAGAGATCACGTAGAAGAGAATGAAAAAACCCAGCTGACAGTGAGAACCAAGCCCATAGACACACAGTCAAGTCTGAGCCAGCTCCCAGCTGTTTGTGCCACCCCAGCTGACACCATACAGACAAGAGCGGAGCTGTCTCAGCTGAGAGCAGCCCAAACTGCAAAACTGTGAGCAAATAAATACTAATTTTCTTTTAAGCTGCTGTTTTGGGGTGGTTTGTTATGCAGTGATAGATAATCAAAACATCTTTATTTACTTAACACCTAAAATTATGTTATATACCACTACCTTTTGGAACATTGCAGACTAAGTGATGCTTTTAATGTTCCTATAGGAAGTCCTCATTCTGTCTCGCACAGATCACATATCTCCACAGATACATAATTACAGCTATCTGGTTGAGGACTTTCTGTGTGCCAACATGACCATGATAATCTCTCACATGATCTGTTTTCTCTCTTGTCCCTTTGCACCTGGGAGTAGCCAGAGGGAGAATGTTTTCACAGTACAAATCTACTCACGTCACTCCCTCGCTTGTCACCCACTGCCATGTCCACAAGGGAGTCTTCTTAGGTTCAACTACACACTCAGGTTCAGCAAATGACCACACTTGGCATTGACCTACTCTGAAGGATATAGCACAAGAACTTTCACTTGCTAGCACAGCACTCAGTGCTCTTCTTGGCAGGAATCTTTGCTTCTTCCGGCAGAGCAGTACCACTCAGATGCCAGATGAAATCCCCATCAGGTGGATCGTCCCAAGCAGGAACGATCCTGACTTAAAAGTTTCATGTCCCACAGGAGCCAATGTCTTTGGACCTGTCCAGTTACATGAATCACTATGCTCAGGATGCCAAAAGTATGACTTCCCACCAGGTATTTATAGTTCCCTCCAGCCCAGATGCAAGTTATCTCTCAGGGGTATTTAAAAGCATCATCAACAGCAACTTATTTTTTTAGAACAGTTTTAGATTTACAGCAAAAATGGGAAGATGATACAGAGAGTTCCCATATATCGCTGTTCTTAGTCTATTTTGTGTTGCTATAAAAGAACACCTAGGCAGAGCACAGTGGCTCATGCCTGTAATTCCAGCACTTTGGGAGACTGAGGAGGAACAATTGCTTGAGCCCAGGAGTTCAAAACCAGCCTGGACAGCATAGTGAGACTGTCTCTACCAAAAAAAAGAAAAAAAGAAAAAGAAAAAAATTAGCCGGGTTTGGTTGTGCACACCTAGTCCCAGTTACTTAGGAGGCTGAGGTATAAGGATCGTTTAAGCCTGGGAGTTCAAAGCTGCAGGAAGTTATGATAGTGCCAGTGCACTCCAGCCTGGGTGACAGAATGAGGCCCCATCTCTGAAGAAGAAGGAGTTGGAGAAGAGGAAGAGGAAGAGGAAGAAGAGGAAGAGGAAGAAGAGGAAGAGGAAGAAGAGGAAGAGGAAGAAGGAGAAGAAGAAGAAGAGGAAGAGGAAGAAGAAGAGAAAAGAAGAAGAAAGAACAAGAAGGAGGAGAAAGAGGGAAGGAGAAGAAATGAATATCTGAGGCTGGGTAATTTATAAAGAAAAGAGGTTTATTAATATTTGGTTCATGGTTTTGTGGGCTTGTACAAGAAGCATGGCATTAGCACCTGATTCTGGTAAGGACTTCAGGAAGCTTCCAATCATGGCAGAAAGAGAAGGGGGGCAGACATCACATGGCAAGAGAGGGAGCAAGAGGGAGAGAGGAGGAAGGTGCCAGGCTCTTGTTTTATTAAGGACTTCAGGAAGCTTCCAATCATGGCAGAAAGAGAAGGGGGGCAGACATCACATGGCAAGAGAGGGAGCAAGAGGGAGAGAGGAGGAAGGTGCCAGGCTCTTGTTTTAACAATCAGTTCTCTAGTGAACGAACAGAGTGAGAACTCACTTATCACCATGGAGATGGCACAGAGCCATGATTCAAACATCTCCCACCAGGCCCAAAGTCCACCACTGGGGATCAAATTTCAACATGAGACTTGGAGGAGATAAACATCCAAAGGATATCAACCCCATACCCACTTTCCCCTACTGTTAACATCTTACATGAGTATGATATATTTGTTACAATTAACCAATACTGATACACTGTTATTAGCTGAAGTCCATACTTATTTAGATTTCTGTAGTTTTTGCATAATTTTCTTTTTCTTTTCCAGTGCCCCATCAAGGGTACCAACTACATTGAGTTGTTATGTCTTTTTAGGTTCCTATTGTTTGTGACAATTTCTCAGACTTTCCTTGCTTTGATGACCTTTTGAAGAGAACTAGTCAGATGTTTTGTAGAATTTTCTTCACTGGGATTTGTCTGATGTTTATCTGATGATTAGATTACAGCTATGGGTTTTGGGGCGGAAGACAACAGAGGTAAAGTGCCATTTGTGCCACATCATATCCAGGGTACCTGATTTGACTGTTGGGAGTTGACTTTCATCACCTGGCTGAGGTCATCAGGTTTGTCAGTTTCTCCACTGTAAAGTTACTTCGCACCGCCCTACCCCTGCCCCACCACCCCAGCGCTTTCCATAAAACACCCTTGGAAAAGGAATCATGATGTGCAACTCACTTTCAAAATGGGGAGTTATAGTTCCCCTCCTCGAGGACTGAGTTATCTACCTACAGAATTTGGAATTCTGCATGGGAGATTTATCTTTTCCACCTGTTTGTTCAGTTATTTTTATCGGTATGGACTTGGAGATATTTATTTCCATACTTTTTGTTACATTCCAATATTACCTTATTTATTTTGTCACTTAAATTTTTCCAGCTTTGGCCATTGGGAGCTCTTTCAGTTAGCTCCTACCCCCACCATTTGTGTGTGTGTGTATGTGTGGTGTGTGTGTATGTGTGTGGGGTGTGTGTGTAGTGTGTGGTGTGTGTGTGTGTAGTGTATGTATGTGGTGTGTGTGTGTAGTGTGTGTGGTGCGTGTGTGTGGTGCGTGTGGTGTGTGCATGTGGTGTGTGCGTGTGGTATGTGTGTGGTGTGTGTAGTGTGTTGTGTAATGTGTGTAGTGTGTGTGGCATGTGTAGTAGGTATGTGTAGAGTGTGTGTTGTGTAGTGTGTGTGTAGTGTGTGTGGCATGTGTGTAGTGTGTTAGTGTGTTTGTAGTGTGTGGGTGTGTAGTGTGTGTGTAAAGTGTGCGTGTAGTATGGTGTAGTGTGTGTGGTGTGTGTATTGTGTGTGTGTAGTGTTTGTGTTGTGTAGTGTGTGTGGTGTGTATGTGTAGTAGGTATGTGTAGAGTGTGTGTGTAGTGTGTGTGGCATGTGTGTGGTGTGTGTGTAGTAGGTATGTGTAGAGTGTGTGTGTTGTGTAGTATGTGTGTATAGTGTGTGTACAGTATGTGTGTGGTGTGTGTAGTGTGTGTGTGGTGTGTGGTGTGTAGAGTGTGTGTTGTGTAGTGTGTGTGTAGCGTGTAGAGTGTGTGTGGTGTGTGTGTAGTAGGTATGTGTAGAGTGTGTGTGTTGTGTAGTATGTGTGTGTAGTGCATGTACAGCATGTGTGTGTAGCGTGTAGAGTGTGTGTGGTGTGTGTGGTGTGTGTATAGTGTGTAGAGTGTGTGTGGTGTGTGTGGTGTGTGTGTAGTAGGTATGTGTAGTGTGTGTGTAGAGTGTGTGTGTGTAGCCTTTCTTTACTTTCTGGCACTATCAGATGCTCCAGGCTCATCTTGTAGTATTTCCTGCCCAAGTCCTATAAACAGCAACTTCTCCAAGGAGGCTTGGATCCTTTTATTGGAGAATGGTATTAGAAACCAAATTTCAGTGCTACGTGTGCTTGTTGCTATGGAGTATCATTGCTACTAAGCCCTCTCGCCTGACAGTAAGGAAATATATGTGTGTATACTAGCCCGTGTGTGTGTGTGTGTGTATATATATATAACTTTCTATATGTAATCATCTGCATCTATATTAAGCTAAACATGAGTTCATTCTGGTATCTCCAATTCTAATCTGTTGCCACATGGATCATTCTAGCCTCCTCCTCAGGGGTCATTTTTATCAGAAGCAATGTTGCTTAGTAACATAGCAGACATATGTTTATCTGTTTCTAGGAAACAGAGCTTCCAAAGGTCAAATTCTCATGCAAAAGAGGAAAAGGTTTTGTTAATCCTTTACTTATATTCATCAGTGAGGCTCTCCACTGCTCTGAGGATAAAGAACAAATTCCTTCACCTGCAAGGCTCTGCAGTGACCTGGCCTGGTAATTCCAGGCTCGTCTCCTACCACGTTCCTTATCGAGCCCTCCATGACAACCACACGGGTCTCCTTCAGCTCTCAAACTCATCACACACTTCCTTCTACCCCAAGTTCTTCGCCTATGCTAGGCCCTCTGCTGCACTTCTCTTTCCTCCCCTCTTTACCTGGCTGCCTTCTACTCATCCTTCTGATCTCAGCTCAACCCACACTTTTACAGGAAGCCATTCCTATCCCCAAGACTAGGTTGGCGTCCTTGTTTGAGGCTTGCACTGTATACTTTTATTTTGTAGCACTTACTATAACTGCAATGTTACATTTACTTATCCTTTTCTCCCACTAGAATATGAGCTATTTGAGTGTAGGGATGGAGTCTACCTAGCTGACTAGTGTATAATATTTGCCCATTTTCTCTGTTCTTTATTCAAATGAGCACTTATCCAGAGCTTCCCAGGTGGTAGCCCCTTTTCTAGTGTCTGGGGATACTGCAGGGAGGGAAACCAGCAAAAACCCTCTTCTCTTGGCACTTACTTTTTAGTGGAGGTGGCAATAAGCAGACAGAAACTACTGTCAGTTGGTAAATGCTGTAGAGAAAAATTCAGAGTGAGGGAGTAAAGAGTGCTGGGGCACTGCTATTTTTGAAAGGAGGGCCTGGAATGGTGTCTCTGAGAAGGTGGCATGTGAGCAAAGACTTGAAGGAAGTGAGGGAAGGGGGTGAGGGCGGGAAATATCAGAAAGAAAAACATCCCAGGCAGAAGGAACAGCCAGCGCAAAGGCTGAGGTTGGACAGCGCATGACTGAGGGAAGGAACAGTGAGTGCTTTAAGGGAGGTATCTAATCTCATTCCCATAAAGCTTCCCACATCCATTTCACAGAGGAGGAAACCGAGCTCCAGGAGGGGAGTCCTTTACACCAGGGCAGCCAGCTGTGGGGGTGGAGCTGGGATTTGAACAAGAGTGTGGTGCCAGGGCTAGCATCCCTTTGAAGTCTCTAACAACAGGCCAGGCCTCTGCCAGACTGGGAGGAAACGGAGGCCTTCCCAGCCCTGGTGGACCTGCCCAGGGCTAGGCTATGCTGGTCTTGAAGGCACAGGCATCCATCATCCAGGGTGACTTCCAGTCTCCTGGTTGGTGAGGACTGCACAGAACTTTGGAGGAGGACAGGTTAGGCTCCGCTCATGAGGTGGCCGAGGAGGACATGGCATTCTCATTTGCCTGTCCTTCCACATGGCCAACTTCTGCTGGCCCTCCCACAGCCCTTGAAGGCTGCACATTCCCGTTCCTCATGGACAGAAGTGGACACAGGCTCAGAGGCCAGAAGTACTACCCCAGGCCACATGATTCAGCTGGTCACCGTGTCTTCCCTGAACCTGCACGATTCAGACCAAAGCTTTCTCTGGGGCTGGCGTGTGTTACCCAAAGAGGAAATGTCTCCTTGAATTTGGTACTCTAGGCACTTCACTCGACTCATCTTAACTCCAGCCCAGCCCTGTAAAGGAAGTAAGTGAAAGTCACTCCTATTCACAGCCTGTTCACCCACATCCACCTAGGTCGTTCTAGGCGATCAGACACGGGTCTTGTTCTCCAGGAGCTGCTAATCCGATGGAGGAGGCTGACCCTTAAACAAAATCACGACCGTCAGAGATCAAAGCAAACAGTGCAGGCAAAAGGAGAGCCCAGATGGAGGGGCCCCTGGGGTGAGTGGGTGTGTGTGCCCAGGGAGGGGTTCCAGGAGAAGAGGCCCCACAACTGGGCCTTGGAGGGTGAGGGTGTGTTTGGCCATTGGCTATGCCCCCAAGAGAACACCCCTCTTGGGCGGGGCACTCCACTGTCCCACAGAGAAAAAATTGCAGAGAAAAGGGGGAGGGGGCTCGTCAGATTCTTTCTCGCAGCCTTCAGGTGGCGCCCTTGAGCCATGGAGCCGCAAGCGCCAGAGGAGACTGTCCCGACCTAAGGACCTCAGAGAGGACCCGGGGTCCTACCTGGGGGCTGTGGGGGGTGGGGGGTGGGGGGAAGGGGAAGTGGGAGAGTGGGAGTGAGGAGGGGCAGGCACCTGGGCTTGGGGCAATAGGGGCTTTCCAGTGGTGTGGAGAGGCAGGCGGCGGGGGAGGGGTGTTCTCCAGCACCCCCCGCCCACCCCGCCCCTACGCCCGGGGACCGTGGGCTCGAAGCCCCAGTTCACTAAGCCCAGGCGCTGGCGATCCAGATCTGCCTGGAGGGGAGGGGAGGACGATGGATTGGAGCCCCCGCACCCTCACCCCAGACCATCACACGCCTTCCAGTCCCTCTCTGTGCTAACTCTCCGGGCGTCCTCGCCGGCCGCGGGCGGAGCTCGCTCCGCGGCGCTCGGCGATCCCCGGCCCCCGCCCCTTCTCCTGTCCCTCTGTCCCTGGATTCCCCCCCCAGCGGCAGCCACCGCCGCCGTACAGCTCCGCGCGGCGCAAGCAGGTACGTGCGCCTCGGCAGCTGCTCCGGGCCGGGCCAGGAAGGGGGCGGGAGACCGGGAGGGCGAGGCAGCGGCGGGCAGGCCCGCGCCCTCCGGGCTGCGCCGCAGGAGAGACCCCCGCAGGCGGACGCCGGCTGCAGGAAGGCGGACGGGCACTGGGAGGACGAACCCTCGCCCGCCGGGCGCCCTTCGCCCCCGCGTGGGGAGGCAGGGAGGGAGGCCCGGCACAGGTACGCACGCGGAGAGGGGACTGCCGGGGGGCGGCTGGAGGCCGAGGGCCGGGGGCGGCGAGTGGGGGCGAAGGACAGTTAGCCTGACCTCGCGGCCCGCCGAAGGACATGCGGCCAGGGGACCCGGCCTCCCCGGGCCTCCGCCTGGTCCGATTCGGCCTGCCCTGGCCCGCGCCTATGGTCAAGGGCAGGAGCAGGGGGTGTGGACTGCGGGCCGGCGGGAGCGGGCGCAGTGGGCAGCCGGCGTGCTGGGGCTTTCTGCGCGCAACTTTGGGTACAACAGCGTGGACCTGCGTGTGCGTATCTACGCGCCCCAAGGCTTTGTGTACAACTCGTGCGTGTGTCTATCGATTGGGTTTTGTGAAGCTTCATCCACAGCCGCTGTGCGTCCCTCTCTCCGGGTGTCAGTGCGCGCGATGGGTGGGGTATTGGGCCCCTGCGGGTCTTGGTGGATCTGGCTTGAATCTTACTCCCAGGGGCACTTAAGAGTGTGTGTGTGTGTGTGTGTGTGTGTACTCGCGCGTGCGTGTGACCAGTCCTGCCCCCTCCCAGGGTATGGGTAATCGTGTGGCCGGAAGATCTGAGGGTCACACTACGTGGCTTCTGGGTGTCTGTGGGTACTGCTGTGGGAACAGCTGCTGGGGGAGTGAGTGTGGAACTGGAGTGTTCCTTTCAGGACCTGTCTGACTGCAGATGAAATTAGTGACTGGTGGGGTCGTGGGGTGTGAACGGTGGGCAGGAGCAGCTGTGTCAGTTGGTGTGTTTCTGTTTCTGTTTGGGTAATTGGGCACGGCCTTTGTGTAACTGGTGAGTATCTCTGAACCTGTGCATAAAACAGAGAGATGTCCTAACTCTGGGTGAGAGGAATCCTCTTTTTTCTCTGCCCTCTCACTGTGGCATCCTAAGAAAAAAGTTTTGGGGTCCTGCAGCATGAAGGAGAGCTCTGCTCCCAGAATGTGGGAGCCCCAGATTTCTTCCAGGTTATGGAGGCATCAACATGTCAGTCTGGGAAAGGGGTTCCTGGGCCACTCCAGGAGCTGAGTTGGGTGGAAGGTGCTGAGGGTGTGGTTGGGGGCCACTTCTGAGCACCCACATGGCACCCACTGCTGGTACCTGTTTGTGGCTGGGCACTCAGGAAAATGTTTTTGGTGCTAAGAGTAAAAAGCCAACCAACAAACACAGCTTTTTTTTTCTGTCTATTCACTGGAAAAGTAAGAGGAGTCTGGGCCCAGGCTGGGGACCCAGATGGAACTGAAACTTAAACCTGCTCTCAAGGTGCTCACCGTTGCTGTTAAACAGCCAGATAAAATGAAGGGTCTATGAGTGAGGGATGCAGAGCCAGGGAAGGCTGGTGGAGTGATGCCACCAGCACAGGGGTATGAGTTTGCAGGTTTGTACGTGATAATAATTCTTAGGGAACCTGCATTCAATTCCTGTCCCACCCTCCCATACAGGCCATGGGATCTTGGCCATGTAAATGGAGACAGTAATTCCGGATCGTGGGGCTGGGGAGGGTGATATGAGATACTCCTGCGTGAAGTGTCGGGTACACGGCTTAACAGCTAGTAGGTGCTTGGTAAACATTTACTAAAATGGGACTCTGGAAAGAGATGTAGTGATAGAAGCGGGTTGTAAAGGGAAAGGAGCTTTGTACTCACATGAAAGGCCCTATATGTGCTAAGAGGAGGTGTCTGATGCTAGTCCATATTGACAGGAAGGTCAGAAAGATTGAAAAACATGTCTTCCTACACTGAGGCTCTTTGAGTTTCATTCATTCATTCCATTCATCCTCACTTCATTTGCTCATATTTACACATACACACACACAGACAGAGAGAGAGAGACAGAGAGACAGAGAGAGAACCACAGTGCACTGGAGAATAAACTCCAACATGAGAATGCAGAGAATCATGTGTGTGTGCATGTATGTGTGTGTAGACACACTGGAGCATGCGAGCCACTTTGCACCTGGGGGTCTCTGTAGCCCTTGGACTTGTGTGCCTAGGGCTCTGAGTGTATGTGCATGTGCCCTCAGGCCATCAGTATATACAAAGAATGATGCAGTTCTGCTGTGGATCAGGAATGACACATGCCAGGCAAGGAAGGGGGCTGAGGTAGGACCTGCCAGGGAGAGGCTAGATCTAAGAGCCCCGATTGCCAACTCCAGGTGAGTGTTATAAGGGAACGGGGGCCTAAGGTGGCCAGATTCTTTCATTTTGCAGGAGAAGCCAGGAATCCAACATTTAAAATGTAAAATCTAAAATCTTTTGCTTTTTATACATTTGCAACTAATTCACCAAAAACAAATGAACAGGCCAGGAACAAAACAAAGCAAACTTCTGTCAGCCAAATATGGTCCCCGGGCTGTCAGTCAGTATCCTTCAGCGGGAATGCACATGTGCTGTCTGTGTCTGGGTGGGTGTGTGTTCAGGTTCTTGGGTGGGGTAAGTCCTTTTGCAGCACAGTGTCCCTCTTCTCACCTCTCCCTCCTGGTTCCCCTCCTGTGGTCCTAGTCCAGGTCCCCACCCTTTTGTTTACATAAAAGCATTTGGCTTTGACCTAGTCATGGCTCTCCAGTCTGCCCCTTCCTCTTGGCCCTTTCAGCCATGCCATCCCCAACCTGCTGGCTTCCTTGCTGGACCCCCGTCCTCCACTTTGCCCACTCCCATCCCATCAGTCCTCCTTTCTTCTGAAGCCGAGGCAGATGTCAGCACTTCCCGCTCCAGCTCCTCAGCTCGCATGGCTCTCAGGCTCCTTGGCCTGGCTTTCAGAGTCCTTTGCGAGCCGGCCCCAGCTGGCCTCTGAGGCAGTCTGTTCCCCTTTCCAGAATGCCCTCATCACCTTCCACTGCTGGGAAATATCCAATTCATCTTCTGAGATCTGGCTCAAATGCCACCAACTCCCAGAAACTTCCCTTCCTCTGTTCCCACAACTTCTGCATTTCTACCCCCTCCTCCACCTCTGTCATCCTTCCCTCATACAACAAGGTTCATGGATTGCACTGGCCAGGGTCTTGCATGCACTGTTTTATGAAATCCTCACAACAGCCTTATGAGGGAGGCATTTTATTCATTACCATTTTACAGATAAGAAGAAGACCGAATCTGGAGAGGTCACATCACTTGCCCAAGCTCAAGTGGTGAAGCTGGGATTTGAGCCTGATGTTCACACTATCTACATTCCCTCCATCGTAATAGGAGCTCATCGCTAACACTGAGCACTCAGGGTTCTGAGCACTTTGCATAGGTTATCTCGATCCTACTCCAGCTTTGTGAACTAGAGGGGAGTAGTAGGATTATTTTATAGGTGGGGAAACTGAAGCCAAGACAGGATTAGTGAATTGCCCACAGCCATACCCCAGCTGGTGATGGAGTGGGATCTGGGCCCGGATCACACTGTTCTGTCATTGTCTTATTCCCTGTCTTCCCCTCTGTCTGGCAGACACCCCCAAGTGGGAATCGTGCCTGACTCACCTTCATGTGCTTGGGGACTGGTGTGATGTCCTCCACAACAGGGAGAGGTTGCTACATTCAACTGACTTTCTGTTTTCTCTTCCAGCTGCCAAGGGGCCAAGGGATGAGCTGGGGCCCTCCTTCCCAATGGCATCTCCCCCTGGTCTGGAACTGAAGACACTGAGCAATGGTCCTCAAGCCCCAAGGAGATCAGCTCCCCTGGGCCCGGTGGCCCCATCCAGGGAGGGTGTGGAGAATGCCTGCTTCTCCTCAGAGGAGCACGAGACCCATTTCCAGAACCCTGGGAACACGAGACTGGGCAGCTCACCCAGTCCCTCTGGGGGTGTCTCCTCACTGCCCCGATCCCAGCGGGATGATCTGTCCCTGCATTCAGAGGAGGGGCCAGGCCTGGAGCCCGTGAGTCGCCCGGTGGATTATGGCTTTGTTTCCGCCCTTGTTTTCCTGGTGAGTGGGATCCTTCTGGTGGTGACAGCATACGCCATCCCCCGTGAGGCTCGAGTCAATCCGGACACAGTGACAGCGCGAGAGATGGAACGACTAGAAATGTACTACGCCCGCCTAGGCTCCCACTTGGACAAGTGCATCATCGCAGGCCTGGGGCTGCTCACGGTGGGCGGCATGCTCTTGTCGGTGCTGCTCATGGTCTCCCTGTGCAAGGGCGAGCTGTACCGCCGGAGGACCTTCGTCCCCGGCAGGGGCTCCAGGAAGACCTATGGCTCCATTAACCTGCGCATGAGACAGCTCAATGGGGATGGGGGCCAGGCCCTGGTGGAGAATGAAGTTGTCCAGGTCTCAGAGACTAGCCACACCCTCCAGAGGTCTTAAGTACTCCCACCTTATCTGGCTGCTTTAGCTCCAGTGCCACAAGATCTCCCCACACCCGCCCCCCGCCAAGGCCTGGGGTTTCAAACTGAGCTCACATAGGGGCTTGTGGAAGAAGTACTGGGTACTGGAGGGAGAGCTCGGGGCCCAGCCCATGCCCCACATGGGCAAGCAGCCCACTGGTCTGTTTTGTAGCTGAGGTTTTGCATACGGTTTTGTTTGGAGGATGGCTTCTGCTGCTAAAAATACAAAAGTTTGGAAACCGCTGCTCTTGGAGGATGAGGTTTCTTGGCATTTCTGAAGACCGGGAGCTGTTTGAAAGGTTGCCCATCTCGTTCCCTCATGCCTTGGGAGTGAGGGACCTCTTCTGTCCTTATCAGCTGAGTGAGGGTGTTGAGGGGTCCCTTTCAGCCCTGACCATCTAAGGTGGGAGGTGGCTTCATGATGAGGGGAAAAGTCAGCATCAGAGTGACCCCCAGTAGCCCCACTGACTAAACTGTGATCCTACCCTCACCAGGCCTCAGTTGCCCTGCCTTCAAGTGAGGGGGTTGGACTGGATGACCCCTGAGGTCCCTCTAGTTCTTCCCTGGGAATGGGAACCCAGTCTCTGTCTCCAGTCACCCCTCCAGGGGAGGAAGGCATCCACCAGGCACTAACCATTCTCCCTGCCACTTTCTGGCCTGACTTCAGGAACCACCACAGCCAGCAGCTCTCATGGTCTCAGGAAAGAGCTCCCTGGTGGGGTTGGGTTCAGTTCAAAGTTTGCGACAGCCTGGTTTTCGTCTTGGGGTCTAATTTCCTGCAGTGACACATTTTTACAAAGCCAAGCGCACAATATTCCCCAGTTCTTTGGGCAAGAAGGATCTTTTACACAGGAAAGGGTGAGGGCTTTATTGTATTTCTGTGGGCATGATGCAGGCCTTGATCACCTTCTCCTCAATAGTATGTCTCTTGCTCCTGACCTTATTTGGATAGCAGGAAAAAAAATTTTTTATGTTGAATTTGTAACCTTAATCTCCCCCATATAGTAGTAAAGTGAAGCCACAGTTTATTCGGGGGAGAAATCAGGCACATTTGGGTGGCCTAGACATGCTGGCCACATTGCCATTTGTTTTCTTCTTATGAAATGTTTCTAGGTTCCTGCAGACTCTCTTTAAACTCTTGATAAGGAAAGGAAGTAGGCCCTGGGGCAAGAAGACATAGGTGTTTGAGGACTGTGGGGAGGCATCCTTCAGTCTGAATGGCCCCAGAGGGCTTCGAGAGCACATGCCTTCTAAGCCACTGGTGTAGAGACCCTACAGGAGTCATTTTAGTGAATCCCCTGCCCAATGTAGGTCCTACTTACTCCATCTCAGTTGGCCACATGGGCCGAGGATCCTGTTTCTTGGGGATGGGAGGGTGGGGTGGCCATGGAGTCTGCAGGGTAGAGAGGCCCTGATGAGCTGTAACTTGAGCCTTCAGTCCAGTGAGTTGAACATCTGGGGAGTGTAATATCACAGCTTCTATGACAGATCAAATATCTGCTCCTACTGGTAGGTTTTACCAAGAGCTGAGAGCTAGAGGAAGGCTGGAAGGGACAAGGGTTGTTTATCTTGGCTTCCCAGATTTTTGTTGTGGTATTGAAGGGGTGTGGTTTGAAAAGAGCAAAGCTCCAAGATGGTAAAATACTGACAAGTCCTAGGCTTCCGCTGTTGTGTCGCTTTCTCCCAGGCTCCAAGCAGGCACAGCCACAGAACGTGGCATGGGCTGTTCTAAGTAAACTACAGAGGATTGGACATCCCAAATCATGGGCTAAGGCTTTTCAATCCATAATGATAATAATAAAAATATCAACCAAGTCATATGGATTACTGTGATGGTGGCAGACTCATTTGGATATAAATGATCTGTCATACCTGTTGAGTGAATGCATCTGGGACCATCAGTTCTTATCAGTTTAAATGCAACGAGTTTATTTAGGGGAGAAATCAGACACATTTGGGTGGCCTGGACACGCTGGCCACATTGCCATTTGTTTTTTTCTTATGAAATGTTTGATGTTAATCATCAAACAGATTTAGGGGCTAAATCTGTTTGATGATTAAATCCCAGGAATCTCAGGTTTTTCTAAGGCAGAGAAGTCTGCTTTGCATTCTAATGTTGAAACTCCTTTAGAAAATGTGTATAATGGACCAAGGCAGTTATTACCTTGTCAGTGAATTAAGAAAGCTTGAGAGATGACAAAAACATTTCCCATGATTACAGCTGAGATCTGCCAGCTGGTGGATCAGAAACAGGTTTAAGAAGGAGGTGATTAGGAACACGGAGTAGGGTGCTGAGAACTTTCTTCGCAGCATCCCAGGGGCCCCTGTGGTTACTGAAATGTGCCTCTCCTCCAGCAACTGCCTCTCCCACCAACCCGCTCCTAGGGCCCCAAACCTTGCTTTTCCTGGTGCATCAGAACAGATACCGATTTTGGAATTGGTAAGACTAAAGTTGGAATCCAGGCTCTGCCACTTACTGGCTGTGTGACCTTGGGCAAGTTACTCCACTTCTTTGAGTCAGGATTTCTCTATCTGTGAAGTGGGTTTAACGAAAGCTCTGCCTCAGGGTGGTGGTGCAGATTACAGATAAAATGGAGAACTGCATAGTATAAGGTCCAGGAATGATGATGCTGTCCCTCCCCACCTCAACTGGGGATAGCTGGATTAGGCCTCAAACGCTGTGGCCAACCCTTATGCCTTTCTTCTATCACACCTCACATCCCAGATCAGCACATCTTGTCAGCTCCACTTTCAGAATCTGATCGCTGTCCACCCTCGGCTGTCACTGCCAGTCCGGGGTTGCTCACTGGTGTTCTGGCTTTCTCTCTTACCCGCTTCTCCTCCCCTCCTCGCCGCCCCACCACCAGGTTCATCCTCCACTCAGCAGCCAGAGGAAGGCCAGAGGGTGGTCAGGTCATGCCACTCCTCTGCTCAAAACTCTCCTATGGCTCCCTCTCCAGGCAAAAGCCAAAATTCTCACCACAACCAGTGGCAGATTTATAGCAAGACTGGCAAAGCTTAAGTGTCCGGACCTCTCTCCACAAGCCCCTTCCAAGGCCCTGAATTATTTATCTATCTTGAAGATGCCCCCCCTGGACTGCATAAGCTTCAGGTAACCCCAAACCGGGGTTCATCCCTCACAGTGGCCTACAAGGCCCTAAGCAATTGGGCCCCTGTGCTTCTCTGACCTTATCTCTCACCCCTTACCCCTTTGCTTACTCACCCCAGCCACACTTGCCTCTTGACCATTCCTCAACCTTACTGGGCACGCTCACATCCAAGGGACTTCAGACGTGCTGTTTCCTCTGCCTGGAAGGTACTTCCCCTCAATATCTGCAAGGCCCACTCCCTCACCTCCTTAGGGGCTTTGTTCAAATATCTCCTCCTCAGTGAAGCCTTTGCTGAACACCATATTTAAAATTGTACCCCACCCCACTTCATTCCCTTTTCTCCTTCGCGGCCTTATTTTTCTCTGATCACTAATCACGACCCAGCAGGCTGAGCCTTGTACTTGTCTTTCCCACCCACGACCTGCCCTACTGGACTGCAAGCTCCATGAAAGCCGGAATTTAGGTCTAACTGGTTCTTGCTGTACTCCCAGTGTTAGAAACACGTTTGGCACATTATAGGTGCTCATTGTTGAATGAGTGGATGAATACATGTAACAAAAGCTTCCTATACCTGCCGGTGCTGCAGAGCCATATGCAGGACCCAGAAGGCCCATGGCTCCTTCTCAAACTCCTGGAGCCCTCTCTAGGGGTGATGATCGGTTGTGCAAAGGATCACATGCCTCAGAGGCGCTGATTTTGTCACTGGACCCTGCAGCTGGGAACTTGGGAACCCATTTGCCTTCCTCTCCCTGGGCCTTGGTAGGGCTTTATGTGGAAGGGTTAGAGGGGTCTCCCTCATGAAGACCCTTCTCCCCTAACCTTGTTGGGACATAGCCAGGTGCCAGCTAGACCTGGGAGACATTTGCTGGGTGTTTAGGGGCCTGTGAGATAAACCAACTGGATTCTTCCCATCCAAGGACCTTGAGTGCCCAGGCCTGGCCCTTTAGAACCCCAGTATCCATGATCACATCTACTCACTTACCTCAGGCATCTCCCAGCCAAAAACGCCAGCTGCCTGAGATTCCACCATTATTGCTCCCTTCCTTGAGAATAAGCATTAATTTCCCTGGGATTCTCTTTAAAATGTCCTCCCTGTATGTACATATCTATACACAAACACGTGCATATGTGCATGAGCACACACATGCGCATGCGCGTACACACACACACACAGAGCTTTCTCTTGTCCGACCTAGCCCAGAGGCCAAGGACACCTATCTTGTAAAGCCAGGACATCCTCTGGATGATTGACGATATTTTCTGTTTCTCCACCAGCCATAGGCCTTGCAGTTCCCAGGATGCCAACCTCACAGCAACAATCAAGTTTCTCCTCCCCAGGTGAAGCTGGTTTCTCTGTATTCTTCCTGCTCCCCGCACCCTTAGCAGGATGGGGAGAGATGTCCAGAAGCGTTTCTGTCCTGGCATTTCTGGAGGGGACTGTGTGGTCCTGGGCTGGGAACCAGGAGAACTAGGTCCTGCTGGTCACCCCTTCTCCCTGTGGGCCTTTAGGCAAATGACTCCATCTCTCTGGTCTACCACAGGAAAATTGGAAACCTTCCCACTCTGTCTTCTCTGAAAGCTAGGGGATCAGAGAACACAAGCAGAGGGCTTTCCGAAGTTGAGAGCTTGGTACTCTGGGTCTGGAGAGCTTTGAAGGGGCAGGAGTAGCGGGGGGAAGGGAGGCATTATTAAGAAGCCACAGGAAATGGGGTTCTGTGTCAGGTTCTGTCAGGAAGCACTCACAAAGTCAGGGAGGCCCTCCATCTGGGCCTGCTGGTCTCTCCTGGAGAATGGACTCCTTTTGATGGTCCCCAGGAGGTACATTTCAGCTAGAGAAAGAGAAACTTGCTGAGATCTGGGCTGGAGTGGTAGGGAGCTTCTTGTCAGTGAAGGTATGTTAGCATCTACTGGTCAGGTGTTGGATATCTTAGGGATGGAGCATAGTGGAGATGGGTAGGATTTAGCCAAGAGACTCCCCAAGCTTCCAATCTCCGCTTTGAGGGGAGCCAATGTCCCAATGGCCAGAGCCTGGCTAAAGACAGTAACAACCCTGGCCGTGTGGTATCTTCTTGTCTTTGGCCCAAAAACCCTCTTCGCCACATTATTTCTCTTCTAGATCAAGCTGTTCCATGAGCAAAGGGACAGGACCAGGACACCTAAATGGTGCAGAGGGTTGCAGGATGACCATCTTCCTCCTCCCAGAGGGCCAAGTGATTCTGAGCTTTCTCCCTACTCAAATCTCAGAGGGCTTGTCAGAGGCAGAGTCCCTTACAGAGGAGGTGCACTGAGGATGGTCCGTCAGCTGAGTGGGACTGCCTGGATGCTTGGTTGTAGTTTAATGCCTCTTAGCCTGTTTCCTCATCTGTAAAAGGGTAGTGCTAATAACAGTGCCTTCCCCATAAGGCTGTGGTGAGCAGAAAATAAAATGATACCTGTAAAGCACTTAGCACGGTGCCTGGCACCCCATAATTGCTTGATGTTGGCTATTCATGTTCGTTTGTTCATTTGTTCATTCATTCATTCACACACAATCTGCATTCCTCCCTGAGCTAGGCGCTGTAGGGTACACACAGACCCTGCTCTTGAGTTGGTCACAGGCTGTCTGGGAAACAGGGCAGTGATTGCTGCTGTGATGGTCATGCACAGTGGGCTGTGTGTGTGGAGGAGAGATCTGATTGAACTGGGGTCAGAAAGCGTCACCCTTCTTCCAGGAAAGAAGGGTGTGTCTAATGGGAATCTTAAAACAATGAGGCAGTACCAGTGTGAAGAGAGAGTGGAGAGAAGGAAAGGCACTCAGGGCAGAGGAACAGCATAAGCAGAGGCTCAGAGGCCTACACAGCCTGGCATGCACTGTGGTGGTGGTAGTGGGGGAGGGGTTAGTGGGGGTGGGGAGGGGGGTGGCCGGGGGTGGAAGGGCGGTCTGCACTCTGGGCTGGAGTGTGGGATGAGGCATACTGAAGGGCATGCCTCAGCGTTTCATCATCTATAGAATGGGGACAACCACAGTACTGAAGTCACAGGGCTATTATGAAGACTCAGTTCACATAGAGACAATGTATAGCACATGGAGAGAGGTCACTGTCAGCCACTATAATTGCTTGCAGATGTGTGTGGCAAGAAGAATCTTTTGATGTCATGCACTTTAGGGGTGATACTGGCACTGGGGAGGCCCGTCCATGGGACTGTGGACTCCAGTACCCCCAGCCCTTCTCTCAGAGATCCTGCTGCAGCCAGAGGACATGACCTCAAGCTCCAGGTACTTCATCTCAACAACCTGTCCCTACTTGGACTCTGAGCCACCAAGGTCAAGGTGGCGGCTGCTGCTCTCCTGGGCTAACGGGGAGGTTACTGAGTGGAAGGAAAGCTGGCCCCAGGGGAGCAGGGAGGGCAGAGGAAGAAGGCAGCTTCCATGCCAACCTCTTCCCGGGTGGCTCAGTGTCTGGGCCCATACTGACTTAGGGCCAAGGGCATTTAGCAAAAGCCATTTCTCTCCCATCTCATCTTTCTTCTCTTCCTCCAATCTCCCCCTATTCCTCTCTTTTTGATTCCTTTTTGTGTCCGCATTTCATTTTATTGAAGTCACTCATGGGGGTCAGGCACCCACAGGAGAGTTGTTACTACTGCTGGCTCTCCTCCTGACAGTCCCCACCCTTCCTCATCAGATTAAAGCAGGGACCCAAGTGCAAATGCCTGCAGGGCTCGGCAGGTGACAGTAACAAACTAAGCAGGTGGCTGTGACAGCAGCAGGATTAAAGGGGAGGTCTGCTTCAATTCCGGCTGGCTGATGCCCTGTGGTGGATGGGCTCAGGGTTACCAGAACTCCTGAATTTTCAAGAGCAGCTGGACTGCTGGACCTTTGTGTGGGTAAAAGAATGCTGAAAGGGATTATCCCGCTGCCTGAGAATGGTGGTTGAGGACAAGGGAGTGTCCAATGAGATGCCACCTGCTGGGACCAGACCTCCACACCCTTCCCCCTGTCCAGGACTTACTAAATCACTTAAGAAGGGGACTGATGCCTGCCTCCCAGCTGCAGGGCTAAGCTGCAGGGCCTGTGGACCACCTGAGTGTTACCCATCCAAGCACCCTTTATTCATTCTTTCAACAAAGATTTGAGCACTCTGTGCTAGGTTTTGGAGATACTGCACTGAACAGATGAAAAATGTAAGGAGGGTATTCTTGAGAGGGCTTGAAATGTATCTTCTGGAGCTCAGAAGCGTTTGTGAACATGGAGATGAGGTCTATTTCTGACCAGAGAATTCCTGAGGTGGGAAGGCCCCCGTGGGAACAGCCCATGCTGACTTGAAGGGATGGTGGTATTGGGGATTAGGGAGGAGGAGGGACAGTCCTACCTCCCCTCGCAGTGTCCTAAGGCCCTTGTAGGTAGGTAGAGGACCCCAGTGTTCCTGGGGCTCCAAGCACTGATGCAGCGAGGTGAGAGGAGGCTGAGCTGTGGGTGGCATAGGTGACTGCAGCCCAGCATACTACATCAAAGAGATGGGCTGTGAGCCTCTTAGATAGGACAGAGGTCCCCACTCCTCTCTGAGGGTCCAGGACAAAGCACTCACCACCCGCCCCCCCCAATTATCCATATAGTCTACCAAAAACCCCAGCATCAAACCAAACCAAACCAAACCCAAAACCCTAGTATGAATTAGAGTAAGAACACCCGCAGGTAGGCATAGTGGCTTGTGCCTGTAATCTCAGCTACTCCAGAGGCTGAGGCGGAAGGATCACATGAGGCCAGGAGTTCAAGACCAGCTTGGGCAACATAGCAAGACTCCATCTTGAGGATCACTTGAGGCCAGGAGTTTAAGGCTGCAGTGAGCTTTGACCATGCCACTGCACTCTAGCCTGGGCAACAGAGACTTTGTTACTTAAAAAAACAAAAAAACAAACAAAAAAAATCTCCTCTCACCAACATCATCATGGCCACTGAAGAAACTTTACTTTTCTCCCTTCCTCCCCCTCACCCACCACACTGGAGGAGCAAGAGACCTCAGAAGAAGCCAGAGACCACCTCTTGGAAGTTTGGGAGTTGGAAAGTTTAAGCTGGGCTGGACCGAGTTTAAAAACCAAAGTGCCCAGTTAGTTACTGGCTGGTTCCAAGATGTTGAGATAAGAAAGGAGTATTTGATAGAGGTCAGCCGGATAAAAAGAAAACACTTCATGTTTGTACACTGCAATGAACCAGTTACTTACTACACACATTAAGTCACCCAATTTTTAAACAATAGTGTTCTCTCTGTGCCAAGCCCTCATCTATGTCTTTACATGTACTGGATCACTTAAAACTCACAACAATCCTATAGAGGGGTCCTATCACTACCTCCATTTGACATATGAGGATGCTTTGGCATAGCCAGATTAAGTGACTTGCCGAAGGTCACACCACTGGTAAAGAACAGAGTCAAAACTCAAATTTAATAGCTGCCATCATGCATCTTTCAAATTTAATAAAATGCAGCCAGTCAGAGCACATTTGTGGGCTAACCTGGGCTATCAGCTGTCACTTTGATGCCCGTGGTTTACATGTAAATTGGGAAGCTCTGTGGGGAAGAGGAGGAGGGCAGGTTAGGGGGGCACTGAACTCAGTCCAGCCCATGGCCCACTTAGTCATGGACTCTCACAGGCAGGATCTTGGGGAGGTGGGTCCATCCTCATCGACATTTTACAGATGGGGAAAGCCAAACTTGTCCAAGGCCACCATGGCCGAGGGCCCCTGGGCCATCCCTCTCTTCATAGGCTTCTCACTTGAATTTCTGTCCTGAGAACCAAGAAACCTAGATGATGGAACTGCTCCCATGCTTCCTTCTGAAGGAGGAGAGGGCAGGGCTCTGTATTGGGTGGCAAGAAACCTAGGTCCAGACCCCCTCCTCTCAGGATGCCTGCCTGTCCCCAGGAGTGGGCCATCCTGGGTGAGGAAGCAGCAGACACTGTCCTGACCTAGCTCCAAATGCGTCCTCCAGCGCCTTTAGGGAGGCTGGCCGCTGACCAGGGTGCTGAACCTGTATGGCACCTTCCTCTTCTCAGCCTAGCTGCGGGAACTGGGACGGGGAAAGAAGGGGTCCCTCATATTGTTGTCACTCAGGGACCTCCATGACTGAATTGGGCAGTGCTCACTGGAAATGCCTTGGACTTGGAGCCACAATTTGTGGTCTGTGTGACCTTGGGAAAGTCACTCAACAGCTGTGGACCTGCTTTTTCACCTGTCAATAGGGAAGAGTAGCTGCCGTCCTACTGAACTCCGAAGGCTGAGGTGAGCAGCACATGGGGCCAGGTGACAGAGCCTTGCGCAGAGTCTGAGCCCATTCCTGTGGCCCAGGGAAGCCTCTTAGGAGCTCCCCATCACATATGGGCTTCTTGAGCCTGTTTCTTCCTCTGTGGAATGAAGGTTGTGCAGGTGGTTTCAGATGCTCCTCCTAACCACGTGCTCTGGGCACTGTGGCTGCAGGTGGAAGTACTCAGGAGCATAAGGCACACTGTGCAAACAGGACTGACTGAGGAGCCTTAAGACCATCCTGGGGATTATGAAGAACACAAGTCCTGACGTGGTTTCCCAGCTTCTGGAATGGGTTTTGCCCAGGGACCCATGCACCTCACCTAGAGAGGATGTGAGGTCTGGGTACAGCAGTTCTACTGAAAAGAGCACTGACATGGGTTCCAATCATGATTCTGCCACCCCAGGGGGTATGTGCAGCATCTCAACTAATGCCACTAGCTGTTGTTTACCTTGGGGTTGTCAGGGGTACTACATGTGATGAGGAGAAGCCTAGCACACTGTGTGCACCAGATAAATGCTTCTTTCCTGCACCGGGGGATATTCCAAGGTTCCTCTCTTGTCCTTGAGTCCCACCCTTATCTACCCATATGACTTCAGTAACAATTGCAGCAAGCACCCACCGAGCCCCAACTCTCTGTTAATAAGACACATTATTTGGTTGGATCTTGCAAGAATCCTGCAGATAGGAGTGATGCTCACTTTGCAGATGAGGATGGCCACACACTGACAAAGGGAAGGCTGTGAGTAACTCATGCTTGACAGAGTCTGAGACTCCTGCTTGACCTTGAGCAAATTACTGGACCTTTCCAATCCTTTCTTTTCTGGTATAGGAAATGGGGATAACACCTCATTATGGTTATGATTTGAAGATATAATGTATGCTATAAAGGTGCTGAATTTTAAAAGATACATGAAACACATTTGAGTGACCCATGGGGGCAAAGGAATGGAGTGGATCCTGGGGGCAAAATCAATGAAAACTTCAAATCAGAGTTCTAATGTGCCATTAACCAAGAGGACTGACTGACTCAATTCTTTGTACTTGATATTCATGTAAAGGAAAAAGACAGTACATGTGAGCTTCTCACACTTTAAGTGTACACAAATCTCATGGAGAACTGTTTGCGTCAGCAGCATCCTCTCACTACCTTGTCCCTCTAAACCCATGGTGACTCTCACAACACTCACCTTAGGTGGCTCATCTGGAGCGCAGCTGTTCAAATGGCCATCCAGTGTCCTCTACTGCACTGCACCGTCAGCCTCATGCTCCTCTAAGCAGGGGCTGGGCCTTCCACTTTGCGCCTCCCACAGGCACTGCCACTTGTGCGGTGTTCAAATCTCCTGTCATTGTTGCTGGGTCTGTCCTCAGTCAGCTAGGCCCTGCCACCCCTCCCTGCCTACCATCCTACCTGCCACACTTGCCTTTTGACCCACCCTCCAGGACAGATTCAGGACCAAGCATGGCTGCAGTGACTCGGTGCATGTGTCCTGGGGTTAATGCAGTGATGCATTAGTCCTGGGACTCAGCTGCAGTAAACAGAAATTTACCTTTTGTAACCAAAAAGGTTATGGTCCAGAGAGCAACAGGATCACATCTTCATTGCTACAATCTGGGAATTAGGAACTCCAGAGCCACACAGCAGCTGCCTATATCTGTGCCTCGTGGTATCCCAAGGGCAATAAAGGGCTGGGGACTTGGATATCTGTCTTTGAGTATCTCCTTTGGTACAAAAAGTCAATAGTGGTTTATACACATACAAGTTTTATGACAGAAACAGCTCGGGATACACATGTGGGGAATCTTCCCTTGCCCTGGTGGAGCCTTATTGGAAATGTACAGAAGTAGACAAATTTAGGTGACAAAGAATACAAACTGCTCCACAGATTCTAATTTTCTCCTGTGAAGAGAGCAATGGATCATTAACAGAATGTTATTAACGACAGTAGAAAGGGAGGCCATAGGAGAAACAAGGTTCCAAAGAGTGAGGCTGTGTGGAACTTGCTACCTATTTTCTAACTACATGTCAACAACTAATGACCATCCAGCACAGGCACACCACCTCCACTGTGAGCACAATACATCCTCGGAGCTTCGGTCTCGAGAGACGCATGACTTCACAATGAAGACTGACAGACGCTTTTGACTTAAGAGACAAATGCAGTAAGAAACACAGCTAACTCTTAAGAATTGGGGAAGAGACAAGCCAAGGAAGAGAAGGTGAGATGTGGGGGATGCTGGTACATCATAGAAATGGTCCGAGATGGTCTATAGCACTTCACCACCAAAAGACAATTTAGAACTAGATCTTTATTCTACTTGTAATTCACTGGATAAACAAAGAAATTTCAAACCAAACCAAAGTGATGATGTGAATCTCATTAGACCTGAAAAGGTCATGAGAACTTTTCTCTAGAGACAGAACCTGCCCTGTATCACATCCAGCCCAGAACCATCCCCAAAAGTCTAATCAACTCCTCTGCAGCTCACCAGCCATGTTCATCCCAAGGTGGTGATGATCAAAACCATAGACTGCTCCCCAAGGGGGACTGATTCTGGTCTCTGCCTTGCGTGGTGTAGGTCAAAATTCTTTTTTAAAAAATGGAAGAGAAGACCATAATAAGATGCCACTTCACACTAACTAGGATGGCCATAAGCATGAAAAATAACAAGTGTTGGTGAGGATGTGGAGAAACTGGAACCCTCATAAATTACCAGTGGAAATGTAAAATGGTACAGCTTCCGTGGAAAACTGTCTGGCAATTCCTCACAAAGTAGAATATAGAGCTACCATGTGAATCAGCAATTCCACTCCTTGGTATATACCCAAATGAACTGAAAACACCTGAAACTCAAACAACTGAAAACTCAAAAACTGGTACACAAATGTTCTTGGCTGCATTACTCATAATGGCCTTTTTGTAGAAACAACCCAACTGTCCATCAACTGATAAAAGCATAAGCAAAATGTGATATATCCATACCATGGATACATGCTACAGCATGAATGAATCCTGAAAACATCACATGAAATGAAAGAAGCCTGACACAAAAGGCCATAATATTGAGTGATTCCATTTATGAGAACTGTTCAGAAAAAACAAAAAAAAATCTTTAGAGATAGATGTTAGTGGTTGCCTGGGGCTGGGGGCAAGGTAATGGGGAGTCATGCCAATGGGTGTGTGGTTTCTTTCTGAGGTGGTGAAAATGTTCTGGAATTAGAAATGGTGGTGGATGTGCAACACTGTGAACACACTAAATCCACTGAATTGTATACTTTAAACAGGTATGTAAATTATGGGTATGTAAATTATATCTCAATAAAGCTGTTACTAAAAAAAGGAGGAACAGGTCACTTAGTGCTGATGTTTATTGTTAAGGCTCCAATCTTTTGGGTTCTACAAAATATACACCTGAAACGTTCCAACCTCCTGCTTGATGATTACTCATGACTGGAAGGAGGGAAGTGGCCCAGACCAAAATAAGCACCATCAGCCTGACCAGGAAGTTCCTAAAGGCTCTATTCACTTCCTCCCATAGAACACCAAAGAAAATGACTGTTTTCTCAGTGTCCTTGATGCAAGGAAACTCACAGAAAATGGCTGATTCTGCAGATGAATCACAATTTTCTGTTTTCAGAAAACAGAATTTTGTATATGACTATCTTTTCGACCTTTGCTACCAGAAAATCTAAGTGGCAAATTTACTGTTTAAATTTTATCTTTTCCTCACATCAAGATCCTAAAAGTTATCTACCTTCCCTGCTTCTGTCTGATGGTCTTTATCATCCTTTAAATACTTCCTTTTATAATAAAGGATGTTTTTATGAGCAAACTGCTCTAAGTCCTTTTGGTTGCAAGTATGGTCCAATTCCAAAACAAAAACTAACATTCCTCCCATTTGCCAGCTCTCAAAGGTTATGAGTAATGATTGAATCTGCACCTCTGCCTGATCTCTGGGTCTTTCTTCAAAGCAGAGATGTTCTAAAGGTTTCAAGGTGGTTGGCTTCCCTGTCTCTGGGGTCTTTTACTAAATCACTGCTTGCCATGGGGACTGACAGAAGTACCCAGGTTGTTGCGCAGGACAGCCTCCCCACCCAGGCCCAGCTTCCATCTGAGACTGACCCTGGGCCTAGGCATCGATTTAGTTTTCATCTACCTGTTCTCAGGCTAAGAAGATAAGCAATCTGAGGCTACAGAAAATAGCCCAGCAGATATCTCAGAAGAGCTACAGTAGCTTGTTTACCTACGGGTAAACAATAGGTCCTAATTTAGGGGAAGGAATCCAAGGAGCTGAGAAATGAAAGGACCCACATATGGTTGAAATGCTAGCTGCAGAGCGGAAGTGACTACCGCCTTGATCTCGTGCCTCTTAGCCTGGTGCTCTATCGTGCTCTTTCCACTCCAGAACAGGGCTCATCACTGCCCGCGTCTGTCAGGCCTCGGGCTGAAAAGGATCCGGAGAACACCAAAGGTCAGGTGGGCCAGGACACAAGGCACAGGACTCCCTGCTCCTCCCGAAGTTCAACACCATACTCAGATGTAGTCCATGCTCCTGTGCTCGGTCTGGGCCCCATGGGGTCCAAAAACCACAGTTAGGCAAGAACCACACAAGGTTCAAGGGAAGTACGGCCTTGAACCATCATTCTTTTCCTCTGCCCCAGTTTACAGGGGTTACCAAACACAGAATGAGACATCAAAATGCTTTAGAGCAGGAAAGCCACCTCCAATTTCACAGGGTTGGCACAAGGCCCTAAGAGGAGAAGGGACTTGCTTAGGGTCAGTCACTAAGTTACTGGCAAAAATAAGATTAGCCTTCAGGTCTGCTCTGTTTTTTCCTTGGCTTTTTGACTACTGCTGCCCATGCATAGATGGACCTACAAAACTGGCCCAGACAGGAAGAGCTGGAGGATTTTGCCTCATCAGAATGATATAGTCTTTCTACAATGTTCCTGCCCTTGTGAAAGTCATCCTTGTGGCCTATGGGATTCCAGTCACTCACTTCCATTCATGCAGCCAGATGGGGACCCATCTTAGTGATGTCAGGAGCAATGGCAATTAATGAACGGAAGGTGCCTGAGAAGCAAGAATGGGCCCTAGGCAGGAAAAAGAGTCATTCAACCCTACAGAAACTCAAACTCTAAAGTCTCATAAATGGAAGGAGCTATGCATTAATGTAAAAAGAAAAGTGGGAAGCCGGCAACATGAATTCTGTATTGACATTTGGTTCTTAATAATAACATCCAAAATGCATTCTGTTCTTATAGCACTGCATCTGGTCGAGGATATATGTTGCTGAAGGTTGCCGGAGTCTCCCTTGGGAAGTGGGGAGGAGTTGGTGGTGAAAGGGGAGGAGCTGGTGGTGAAAGAGACACACTGATTTCTCTTTGGGAGCTATCCGCAGCTAGGTGGAGAGCTGCAGCAGGTGTCTTGGCTCTGATAAGGGGTGGGGAGGCTATCCCAGCCGGCCTGCAAACATATGAGCAGAATCCCTTGCCCCCAGCCCGCAAGAACATGGTTGCTGATGGGGACAGCAGTGGCAGCTCCAGGAGAGTGGAGGGAAGCCTGGGATGTTACATTCTTGAGGCCTTCACAGGTACATGTCATCGTAGCCCGGCGGGGGGAGATGGTCTGGGTTAGGTCTGGAATGGAAAGAGGGGCTGATGAGTTGGAGTGATGGAGAGACCAGGGGGACATGGGCAGACGTGACCCTGCACTGAGGGAACCTGCCCTTCAAAATGATGTGGTGGTGTGAGGAATTTAAAAACATGCACTCAAGAGCCAGACAGCCTGGGTTTGAATCCTGACTCCCCCACTTGGTATAAGTTACCTAATCTTTCAGGGTCTCACTTTCTGCATCTATAAAATGTAGACACCACTATCTACCCAAGACTGCTGAAGAAAGGATCCAATGAGTTTCTGACATACACTTAACTTTCAAGAACTGTTAGTTCCTCCTCCTACTTTGAGTCCTCCCCAGAGGGGAGCTGGGGAAAGAGAGGCACTGAGGGATACGGAGCTCCTAGAAGGCTCCAGGGAGACATCAGGCAGGGCCCTGGAGGAAGCTCCACTCTCCTGGCAGCAACAGGTGAAGGCAGCGGCAACTGTGTGCCTGGGGCTAGAAACCTTCGTTGCTGCCACACTGAGCCAAGCTGCCATCAGGTCCTACTTCTCAGCATACCTGAGTGACTACCTACCCAGGTGGGCTGGTCCCAATGGGTCCGAAGGGGTCAAAGCGAGCTCCTGGGGGCACAGCGCCTGGAGGAAGCCGGTTCGGGAGGCCTGAGGAAGGGTCAATAAGTGCTCTTGGGAAGCCAGATCTCAGGGGATCCACAATCATGCCACCTCTCCGATGCCTAAGGCAAGAAGAAAAGTTGGGTAAGCAGGTGTGGCAAGGACTGCCCTTGGAGAACAGGTGAGGGAGGTGAGAATGGACCAAGAATGGCTGGGTTGTCTAATGTGGATGGCCCAAGCAGACATGTGGATGGCTGCCTGAGAGCCCAGCCCTTATGGGCAAGGGCAAGAACACAAAGCCTATACGAAGAGTATACTTCACAGCTGGGTACTTTTGGCTCTGCAGGGGTTGGTTCTTCTGCACAGTGCTTTTGGTTCTGTAGGGCTCCTCAAAATTGAGATCCCTGCCTTATCCTATATCCAAGAGGGCCAACTTGATCAAGACCAAGAGCCAGAACTTGCCAAGGTCAACTTCAATGCATTCACAAGGTTCTGCAGGGTGCTACTTTAGGTTTAAGGACTAATAATAGCATTGAGAAAATTCGTGATGTTGGTTTTTTTTGTTCTTTCCCTTAAGGGCCTCAGGGCAATTTCTGACTGCCTGTAGATTGCCTAAGTCTGGCTCCTGACAGCATCTGTCCCTCATGGAGTTCCATGGACCTGACCTCATGTGCTCAAACTAGGATGAATGAGCTGATGGTTCCCCAAATTTTGAGGTCACTGCTTAGTTATATCCCCACTGTCTAGGAATGAGATGCTGAAGTTGGGGTCACTTTGCAGCAGAGGTTAAAATCTAGTTGGAATCATTCAGGGAAGAGAGTGGAGAGCAGAGGCTATAGTAACTTTGTTGGATGCATGATAAGAACCGTCCAGAGTCTAATGGGGCTCAGAGGCTCCCTTTATCAAGTGGGGTAATCTCTGAATAGCCCTGAGCTGCCCTAAGGCCCACAATCTGCTCTTCACTATACAGTTGATAAACTAGGGTGGGCAGGGGGACCGGGAAATGGCAGAAGAGCTGCCTGCTGGGCTTACTCACCTCCCTGCCAACACTCAGCGCTCTCCTGCACTGCTCTAGCTGAGGAGGGGCAGCGCATGTGGCAGTGCTTTCTCAGCCGCTCAGCAACAACTCCCTCCTCCACCCCAAAGGAAAAGACTGACTGAAAACTCTAAAATTAGAAGATGAACTGGGGCTGAAAAGCCACAAAAGCAAGTTGTGTCGCTGCCACCTCCCCAGCAGTACTCACCCAAAAGGGTCTAAGTCTTCTCCCCCGACAGCAAATGGGCCCAGGGGATCACACCTGAAACAAACAAGAGACAATTACTGCAAGTCCCAGAGCAGCCAGGCACCTGATACATGTGGGATCACAAACACACTTGCAGGCATGGCAAACCCCTGCATGAGACCATAACACAAGGGATATTTCAGGGTGGTCCTTGGCTCAGATGAACAATAATCCTACAATGACAATTATGTAAGAAGGGCGGAACACAAACCTAAAAACATAGATTAAAATATTAAATATTAATATTTTAAAATAGTAATATTGGTAACCTCCAGATAAATTTTATTCACATCTTTCTCAGTTTCAACTTTGTATAATGAACCAAGAAGTTTTACATTAGAAAAATATTATTCTTAAACCCAAAACCAAAATCCCAAAGCTAAGATTCAGACAGAAGCTTCCAAAGTAGAGACAGATGTATGGAGTCACATACAGCTAGAACAGTGCTTCTCAACCTTTTTGTCAATATAGCCCCTGTATAAAATTTTAGTACTATAGAGGTACTGTGTATCTGTTTATGCATTGTACCTGAAGGAGGGCCACAAACCACTGTAATCTCTAGGACTGCCCCTGACCCCAACAGCCGATTTCTGCCTTCATGGAGAATGCATGAGCTAGAAAGCACATAAATGACTGCATGCTTTCTGGAGAGTAGTTCCATATTATCTCTGTAATATATATAGATATAGATAGACATAAAAATACATAGTCCTTCAGAAGTTTTATATGTCTTTTTTTTTTTTTTTAAATGGCAGCACTTTTATTTTTTCTTACACAATGATGTGCTGCTAGGCCTAACGTTCTCACATAACAGTAAAAAATACAAAATTTGTTGTCATCTCTTAAAGACTCAAGAATTGCATACAAAAAAAAACCTTACATAAATGAAAAGGATGAATAAATTTACAGGTGTAAATGCAAACTGCTTCCAACTCAAGGCAAGTAACAGCCCATGGTGTTCTGGCAGGAAAACATCAGCTAAGAAAGGAAACTGGGTCCTACAGGCAAGACAGAAATGACAACTGGTTCAGGAGCCCTTGCCAGCCTCTAGAGAAATCCCAGAATACTCAGCCCTGATACATTAATACCCTGCACCAGTGGGAGACTGCCAGCCACACAGACCCACCAAGCCATGGACTTGTCTTCCACAGGCATGTTCTTCATCTCAGTCATGAAGTGCCCAAACCACATGTGCTAAGGGTTGAAATCAAAGACATGAACAGAGTATTAAACAAATACCAAGAGAACAGTTAACTTGAATACAAGGTCAAAATCAGCAACAAGTTCTACAATCCACTGCTGATCAAGCTTCAAGGACAAATTTCTTTCCAAAAGCTTATTCCAGTTTTGTGAGACTGGCATGAGGTGTATACATTTGTCGGGGCAAATTTATACATCTGAATTACCCTATGCAGCAAATGCTACACATCTGCTTGTAGTCCATTTAGAAGCATTTGCGGTGGACATGGAGGGGCCCAACTCGTCATACTCCTGCTTGCTAATCTACATCTGCTGGAAGGTGGACAATGAGGCCAGGATGGAGCTGCTGATCCACACGGAGTACCTGCACTCTAGGAGCACAATGATCTTGATCTTCCTTGTGCTGGGCACCTGGGCAGTGATCTCTTTCTGCATCCTGTTGGAGATGCCTGGGTACATGGTGGTGCCACCGGCCAGCACTGTGTTGGCGTACAGGTCCTTGTGGATGTCCACATCACACCTTATGATGGAGCTGAAGGTGATCTCACGGATGCTGCAAAATTCCACACCCAGAAAGAAGGGGAACACCACCTCCAAATACTGGAACTGCATGTTGCCAATGGTGATCACCTGGCTGTTAGGTAGTTTGTAGCTTTTCTCCAGGGAGGATGACGACGTAGCAGTGGGCATCTCCTGCTCAAAGTCCAGGGCGACGTAGCACTGCTTCTCCTTGATGTCATGCACGATCTCCCGCTCGGCCGTGCTAGTGAAGCTGTAGTCACACTCTGTGAGAATCTTCATGAGGTGGTCAGGTTCTGGCCAGCCAGGTCCAGACACAGGATGGCGTGGGGAGGGCACAGCCCTCGTAGACAGGCACTGTGTGTGACTCCATCTCCAGAATCCATGATAATGCCAGTAGTGCGCCCAGAGGCATAGAAGTATGGCCTGGACTGCCACGTACATGTCCAGGGTATTGAAGGTCTCAAACATGATCTGAGCCATCTTCTCTCTGTTGGTCTTGGGGTTTAGGGGGCCCTCGGTCAGCAGCACCGGGTGCTCCTCCAGGAACACACGCAGCTTGCTGTAGCCAGTGTGATGCCAGATCTTCTCCATGTCTTCCTGGTTGGTGACGATCCTGTGCTCGATGGGGTACTTCAGCGTCAGGATGCTGTGCTTGCTCTGGGCCTTGTCGCCCAGGTAGAAGTCCTTCTGGCCCATCCCCACCATCATGCCCTGGTGTTGGGGGCACCTGACGGTGGAGGAAAACACGGTTCGAGGGGCGTCATCCCCAGCAAAACCAGCTTTGCACATGCTGGAGCCATGGTCAATGACAAGTATGGCAATCTCTTTTTCCATTGTGATTGGTGGAGGAGCGGGAAGAGCTCCTCCTTCTAGGCGGCAGAGCAGCGGGAAGATGTGGAGCACAGGCTGGCAGTAGTGAGTGAGACCCTCTTATATATCTCTGTATTCTTTGATCTGATAATTTTTTGTCGAGGTGTTCATTTTAAATAAAGAATAAAGAATTTAAATTAAAATATATTCACAAAGACATTAATCAAGGAAACTGCAGTCAGCTTAAATGGAGGCCAGTTAGGAACATCATGGCAGGTTCCTAAATGTAGCCATAGAAACAATAAAAACCATGTTCTGAGAATGTTTTAAAAATGATGTGGAAAAACGCTCATGCTGTAGTGTTAAGTATCAAGGGGAAATGGGGTTTATCAATAGCCTAGGAAATTAACTGTGAAAAATGTGTCTATGCAGGGTAGTGGTGGTATGTATAATTACAACTAGAAAGAAGCGTACTGAGAGTGCAAACAGTGACAGTTACTCCTGGGTGGTGAGGTATTTCTTTATACTTTCCTGTTTTTTCTGTAATGGATATGGATATAACACAACAAAAATATTTAGTATTTTGAAAGATGTGCTTTGGAATCTTTGCAGAGCCCTGGCAAGCAATACAAACCTGACAGTTCCGGGGCAGTGGCAGGTTCCTGCCAGACCTTGGGAAAGCCTTATATACAGCAGCTAATCTAAGCTTACAGGTAAGAAGTCATTAATTAGAGAACTGGGAAAAAATCCAAAAGTAGATGCTCCTCCAGTCAGTTCCACCTGATGGGTTGGAATCGCAGAATACTGTGATTTAAATGGACAAGGCCAGGTTTCCTAGGGAAGGAATATTTCCTGACCTAGGTTACTGCTCCCAAGCCACAGTTCATGGAGCTAGCAGTCAAAGTTTCTAGCAGCCTCCAATATCCTGCCCAACTGGAGGCAGACCAGGTGGTGCCAGAGGGCAATAAGCATCTTACCTGACTCCATGAAGTGCCCCCCGACAGAGTGGCAAACATAGGGGGCTTCTAGTGGCTGTTAAAATGCTTGAGAATAGAGTCTTGATTGCTCTGAAATATGCAACCATCTCTATTTTTCTCTCTGGACCACGAAATATGGGGAGGAGAGAAGAAACAGAGAACAAGAAAGGTCAGACAGGCAGTTGTAGGCTGGGCACAGTGGCTCATGCCTGTAATCCCAGCACTTTGGGAGGCTGAGCTGGGCAAATCACTTGAGGCCAGGAGTTCGAGACCAGCCTGGCCAGCATGGCAAAACCATGTCTGTAAAGGCAGAGTGCAGTGGTTGACGCCTGTAATCCAAGCATTTTGGGAGGTCAAGGTGGGAGGATTGCGAGTCCAGGAGTTTGAGACTAGCCTGGGCAACACAGTGAGACCCCCATCTCTATTATTAAGGAAAAATAGGTGCTGTATTTCCTAAGTTGTTTTTGCTATTAACATTTTTAATGGCCAATACATACTCAAGAGAAGCAAATTTTAAAAATTTACTTAATTTTCTATTGCAAGCATTGATGATGTTTCTGGGGTATGCATGTGTAACTACAAATAATACTGTACTTAATATCTTTCATGTACATTTTTTTTTCTCTATGTTAGAAAACACAGATATCTTACCTTCTGTCACTCCACTACTATATGATGGGAACAAAGAACTTGTTTCTTTGGTCAACTAATTGAAAGGAGTTGTGCTCAGGAGCCTCAACTGCACCTGACTGAGATGATTAGGTCTTGGTCCTTCAAGTTAATGAGATTTAGATAAGATTTTAGACTGAGTTGATGCAATAATGGGTTAAGACTCTTGGAAACCTCAGGGGAACAAAGATATATTTCACATTTGAGAGGCCAGAGAACAGACTGTGGTAGATGGAATTCAATCCCCTCTCAAGACTCCACAACTCCTAATCCCCAGGACCTATGAATGTGATGAGAAAGCAATCCTGTGATTGTTTTGTTATATGGCACAGTTGACCTCAAAAGGGCACATCATCTCAGTGGGCTAATCTAATAAACAGGAACCCTTAAAAGCACAGAACATGGAATGTGGCAGAAGAAGAATGCCCAAGAAGAGACTCAACACAGCACTGCTGGCTTTGAAGAGGAGGCAGCCACATGAGGAGAAATGCAGAAGGTCTTATGGAACTGAGGGAGAGGGATAGGAACCTTAGTCTTATAACCACAAGGAACTGAATTCTGCCAGTGACCTGAATGAGCCAAGAAAATCCATATTCTTGACCTAGAGAATTATGACATAATAAGTGGGTGCAGTTTAAAGCCACTAAGTTTGTGGCAATTTATGATGCATATATATGCTGCAAACACTTTCCTCACTTTACTGGCCTTACACTTTGAGTTCAGTTAGCTAACAGATGTTATGAAGATACTGTTTTTCTAAGTAATCTAAAAGAATAATGAGACTGACTCCAGCATTGCTAAGGATAGGAAAATGACACTGAAACATAGTGAGAATGT